ATTGTCCCATCAAGCTGCCCCACTGCACATTAAGCCCTGGGTGAACCAAGGAAAGAAAGAAAAAGGAGACTGCTGCAGGGGTTCATAAGCCAGTGCCTTCAGCCCCTGCATCAAAGTTATTGGTTATGTAAATCCAAGATGACGCAAGTCTTGCCCTGAACCCCTTCATTCTGTGACGTCCCATCAACGCCATCTGCGGTCTCGCTTTCTTCTTCTTCTTCTTCTAGCATTTCAAAAGGAGTCATTATATCATAGAGAAATGAGAGGAAACCATAAAACCAATCTGAACTTTCCTCTGCTAAAATATTAAGGACTTCCTCAAGAGAATCAATATTTTCATTACTGCCATCTTTGGTCAGGCCTACATAAGGATAAAGGGAGAGAGAAAGAGAAAATGAGAGCAGTTAAGTGGGAAAAAGAAGCCTTGGAAGAGTGATCTCAAAAAAGGATGTGCATCACGGTCAAGGACGTTTACAGAAAAGACATTTTGGAAAATAAAGGAATGGGTTAAGATGCACACCTTACAATCAACTCTCAATCATACGGACTAAAGGAAAGGCAGTTGGATCAATCCTCAGCCTTCCTACCAGTCCCTCACTGGGTTTCTCATCAGAGAATCGAGAATCCGAAAAACACAAAATTGCACCAGCCAAAACTGACTCACCCACTTCAAAGGGAAAAGTGAGTAAAAGTAATATGAGGATAAAAAGACACTTCCAACAAGCCCCACCTCTCCTCATTTAGCAACCAGATATTATCGAGAGTTGATTATGCAAATATTTACATACACCAATAAATATTCACTGAAAATAGAAACATTCATTTAATCAATTTTTTTCCCTTTAGGAGCTGGAGTTAATTTAGGAAACTCTGGAATTAACATGATTAGCAGGCTTACTGTTCAGCTTCCATAAATGGGCACCAGTGCACTCTAATTTTACCAGATAATCAACTTAAATTTTAACACTGTAAGATGTCAGCTTTATTATGCTGTGATTACTTGACTCATGGTCCTATAATTCTGACAAATAATAAGAGTCAGCCAGAATTAATAACAATTCATTCAGCCTACCAATGTGAAATGTGATCAGTCACCTGCAATAGGAACATTCCAGAGTTCTCTACTTATCAGCTCCTGAAATTAGCTTCTATTGCAAAGAACTCTGATGCCTGTTATTTTTAAGTCTTGGCCCCAATGAGACACCCATGATGGAAAGAAAGCAACATATATATTGTTTTTATCAGTTGCTTTCTTCCTGTGAAGGATTGGCTTTGAGTATGACTAGTCTCATGCCTCCAGCAGGTCTCAAAGTCCACAAACACTGTCAAGCTCTATAATTTTGATAGGGTGGAAAAAAAAAAAATCAGGCTGGAGGGTTCTGGTTGTAAGAAACGTGAACATCCATGATGTAAGAGCTTTACAGGTTAGAACCACCTAATTCGGTATTCCTGGCATTGACAATACAAAATTTGTCCCCAAAGCATAACTACTGGCAATTGAGATGGGCAGGTAAGGGATAATAATAAGACAACTAGTCTAATATTAAAGGTTATAGTAAACTTTCTCTGTATTAGCCCACAGAAGAACTACACCATGCCACTCTTCATATATTTGGGGTGGGGTGGGGGACACAAACTGCTGCTGGTATTCAAATAACTTTTTGATCAACCCAGAATGCCTCTTCATTTAATTGAAGAGTTCACAAAAGCTTTGAACAGAGATCTGTCTTCCCACTCAAGACCCTATGGAAATAATATTGTTTCTTCTTGTTCAAAAAGAGCTATACATAAAAGCTGTATATTTAGAATAAATCCCTGGGCCAGGAAGATCCCCTGGAGAAGGAAATGGCAACCCACTCTAATATTCTGTCTGGAAAATCCCATGAACGGAGGAGCCTGGCACGTTACAGTTCACGGGGTCGCAAAGTGTCAGACACGACTGAGCGACTAACACATATTTAGAATAAATGTATTTCTTGTTCTCCATTTTCCAATATAAGTACTTTCAAGTATTGAATATAAAATATAAAACTTTACTACCCCTCAGTATGACAGGCTGAAGTATGCAACAAATGGGCAGAAACATTTGAAAACAACTAATTAACCAACTATGCAACCTTTCTGTGGTTCTTAAGACAAAAGAACTAGTCCTAAGAGAAAAAGAAAATATGTTCCGGGTATACAATTCTTTGTCTCTAAGACAAAGCCTGAACCAAGGAGCAGGGTGAGTGCCTTAGACAGGCAAGAGCCAGCCTTCCCTTCTGCACACTCATGCATTTGCCAATCTACAAATATTTGTCAGGGCTCTAAGAATGACCTTCCCTTTTGTTCTCTAGCCATAACTGATGCCAGCTGAGTACCAGTCTCAGGACAAAAGGATAACCATGTGTCATGTTACTCTAAGAAAATGTTACTCAGTATTTATTCCTCTTTCCTACTGATTTCACTTGGGAAACATATTTTCAAAGAATACATTTTTGGACAGTATAACTTTCAATCATCCAAACCTAAATCAAAGACATTTATTTTAGATAATGTGGCCACAAAACTAGGAAGCCATATAAACAAGACCAAGCTTAGAACATTTTCAAAGTATACCATAAGGGCCATGGCCAGAAATAAATAATAAAATGAATGATAGCTATTGATCTTGATATACTCACATTTTTCATTTTCTCTTTATATTTAAAAGAAAAGCCAAACTTTGAAATGTGAAAGAAATGTAAATATGAATGTATACATTTCCTGAAATGGATCAAATTTAGATACATACAAATTTAAGACTCCAGAAAGAAATACTAATGAAATAAATGCCAAACCTATAGAAGTTCAGCATAACTAGCAATATCATCACACCTGCCCTGCCAAGCTCTCACCTAATCTCTGACTTCCTCCTCTCATCCCTCTTGGGCATTTCCCCTGCCTGAATCCAAAGCTGTTAAACTAGAGCTTCAGCTTCTCCAAGGAGAGTATATCCCAAGGTCTAGCTCTTTTTGGGGTACACAATCTGCTCCCCCATAATCGCTCCCTGAGCATACAGAGCCCGGCAGTGCCTGAGCCCCCCAAAATTCACCTGGTTCTTGCAATCACCCTCCAGTAACAGAGGCACAACTCAGCGACAACAACCTCACAACGGAGAAAAGAACTTTAGTCATAAAATTCAACTCCCGTCAAGGTTGTATTTCACGCAGAGAATTCAAATGCTACAGAATAAGGTTAGAGGACAAACAGTTCACATTCGTTTTCTTCATCTTTACCAAAGCCACAATCCAACTGTGAATTAGTACACATAATACAGTAAAATAGTGTGCCATAGCCTTTTTGCATGTAATCGTCAAATTACCAAATGAACCTTCCCGTTCTCCAACTGGGTTCTACTCCAAGCATACGATTCTTGTAAAAAGATCAGACTACCATTTGCCCATTCCACATACATGGCTACCCGCCAAGGAGAATGTTCTAAATTACAGCTAAACTCTTAATGGCTGCTTAAAAATACTAAGGGGAAAAAATTTTTGAAATCTAAAATTCTAAAAATCAACTTATTAATGTGAATTTGCAGTAGAAATAAATATGTGCAATAGAAGAAATATCATTTTAATTTTTAATAGTTGGTGTTTCCAAATAGACCAGATAGCTGATTTTAAGCACCTCCCTCCTTAAACAAAAACAAAAAAGCAACCAAATGTAGTAAGTAATATTTCTAAAACAAGGAAACATGGCCCATATGAAGCTATTTTTAAAATAAAAACCTCTGCTATTCAGAATTTGTCATTTACAGAAAAGTAATAAAATAGAGTAATAAATCACTTAAAGGCAAGCAAATCAGCATTGTTGATATGTTTTATATTATTTTCTTTCTTTCACATGCCAAGGATTATAGTCTTCTGAGGACTTACTGTATTTACAGAAACCCAAATCTAGATGCGTAATGACAAAATTATATAGAAAATTCTATTATGGTTAAGACAGGAAAAGAAATTTCATGGGTACTGGAAGCTTTCACTGTTAAGTAGCAAATATAATTCTCACTGAGCAATAACAAGATAACATACAGTAAAGTCAAAATTAAGTTTTATTATATTTCATTAGTTACAGATGTAGTATCTCCCATTTTTTCATATCCATAAAATATACACAAAATTGTGCAAGAATTCCTTTGTGCTATTATTCTATTAAGCTTGGTATGTAATACCTTACCATATTTGTTATTTTTCTAAAGACTTCAGTGTAAAGTGTTTTGATACATACTATGCTATATACGAAACAAAGGAAGAGATGCTGTTTGACAAGCAGAAATACATAGCTCATCAGGCCAGATTATATAAAATTTGTATATTAAAATTAGCACCATCTTTTATAGCATGACAGCATGTTAAAATAAATGAAAGAATATCACCTCTTTATTTATTACAAAAAACATCTCAATGATTAAGACAGGTATTTCTGGTGATAAAAAAGAAGCGTCAAGACTTAAAAAAAAAAAAAAATCAAGTAATCTGGCCAAAGACTACTAGTTTATATTTTAATGTTAACTTCCAAACCTTCATAGGACATTTTGAGATGTTTACTACCACTACTTTATTTCAAAATGAATTTATGTAAGCTTTTAGAAATTCACTTTCAAATGGACGTGAAATATGTCAAATGATGCTAAAGAATGGCTGTAATTACCATATCTGAAAACAGACTAGGACATTAAATTTTCAAATGCTACGTTCAAAATATACAATGCTTTAAATCTAAAAACACATATGAAATGATACCAATTAAGAACATCTGTGCAGGAGCTATATATTTATCTATTTGCAAAAGTAACTTGAAATGTGACAGTTTATGGAAAAATAATTAAGCTATTCATTTCATCCTAACAAGAATATATAATGTGGGAAAATATCTTCCATAAAATGTAAATGATTGACACAGACACTATTAAAACTTAAATATTATTTTGCTTCCAATATTTTAGCATCACTAACTTTAAAAAAATGTGTACTTGCCTAATAAAACTTTGGCATCGTCCACATCAAAATCTCCATCACCATCAGCATCATAGATTCCAAGTTTTCCTACAAGAAGAGAAGCAAAGAAGGATATGGGAACAAAAGGAAAACCAAATTTAATAAGGTGTTACTACTTCTTACAGTCCTGCATATTAATTATTAATACTACCAAGCAAGGCAACTCTTTGCTCCTTTCATTACGAAAAGCTGTGCTAAATGATAATCTCACTTAAAAATGAAGACGGTTCACTTAGAGATGAAGGAAATATTCACCTAACAAATATAAGAAATATAACTGAGATAATATTTTCTTTCAGGGCTTAACAATATCCTGATATTTAATCATTTCAGAACAATATTTTTAAATTTTATTGCTAAAAATATTTTAGATAAAATTTTCAACATATATAAGGAACAATATGGATCTACTTCTAGCAGTTACATGAAATTTAATGTTTCGATAATATAGAAGTTCCTCATACCATCAATATTCAAAACTAAATACCCATAGATTCTCAAACCATAGAGTCTCAAAGACTACATATAATTCACATCAAGTAAAAGTACTAAAAATAAAAGGATAGATTAACTTTATATTTTATAATAAAGACTTATGACAAGCATCATGAATCAACCTTTAAAAAAAGACTGTTCTGGAAACAAAGTATGTAAAACTGGCCTTTTGAAATTACAAAGGAACACTTACAGTTATCCTACTTAAAAAAATAACTAGCACCAGTCATCTATTACTAAGGAAAAAAAAGGACTTAAAACAGACAAGCTGAAAAGCCAATATTAGCAGAGACTTCCTCCTTCAAAAAGAGTAAGTATGAATTTTAAGACATAATAAAGTTTTATCATCTCGGAGCACTGTTATGTTCAGCATTTCAAATGTGAGTCAAATACATTCAACTTCCTAAAAACATCTAAAAATTGACATGATTTATAATTCATCACTGGACAATGGATGTGAAGAGGTTTATTAATTTCACATCTTTAAACAATATTTTAAACCACATTCACAAATAGACTAACAGTACAAAAATACTAGCTGGCAACACTGCCACCATTTCTTATTAAAGAGTAAATTAAAACACTGCATAACAGCATGAAGAACTTTGGGAGTAGAATAGGTATGACCAACTCGGACCCTCCCAGAGCCCTTGTCCTACTTTGGAAAACATTTAACTTGCTATGTAGAAGTCTGGTTTACAAAGCACATATATATTGAAAATGATAACAGTGAGGGACAAGGAAGTTATCATTTCTATACCTAAGAAAATATAAATGAAAAGCACTGGTCTGCAGTTGAGGCTACATATAGTACAGTTCAAATAACATTAAAAAAAAAAAAACCAGAAACTATACTTTCTGAGAAATTTAAAAGGGAAAATTGGTCCCATCACTTACATTCTCTAATGCAGGTGATAACTAAAATAGTAGCCTAAGGGTGCAGTTTTAGAGACTAACACAAGTAGACTTAAAATTCATCTCCAAGAGCCTACCTTGAAGTACCTCTGACAAGTTATAACGGAAGTCCTTTGCTTTGGCTGCATGCATGTAAAAACACGAAATTGTTACTTGCGCTTAAATATTCTGAAATTAATAATGATGACAGCACAAAAAGTTAAAAACCAGTGAATTCTATGTTTCTACATATTTACAATGTTGAATTTTATGTCATGTGAATTTTACCTCAATTACAAAAATAAGAGACTTGACCAAGTGAAACAAAAGAATCATGAAAGTAAAAAAATCATGAAAAACTGCAGTGATGATGGGGAGAGAAAGGGGAAAAGGAGAAGGAAGGACAACAACTATCAGAAGTAGCATGACAGCTTCCTCCAAACACCGTACAGGGTACACCTACATACGAACTCACACACACACTTGTGCTCCCACAATTTCAATGAGGACACAGAAGGGTATGCTTTGAAATGCTTTCTTTAAGTCAGGGTCTTGCTGGTTGTGTTTATGAGCCACTCATGGGTCCTTGAATAAATTCAGTGGCTCATGACCTATTTTAAAAATTCATAATATAACAAAATGGAATAGAAATGATAGACTATTGCATGTCATGGGAGTATGTACTGTTTGATACAATTTTTCTGTGCAAACAATGTAAGTCTGTTTTTACTTCAACAGATCATGTTCAAGGACGTTGAAGCCATCACTCCAAGCTAACCCTGCTAATGTCCCCTTTTCTTCCTTCCCTACTGAGAACCACTGGAAGGCTACAGAAATTAACAGTACTAATAAGAAACAACATGAAGACCCTTACCTAACACTTCTTCATAATCAACAAGATCAAACCAGACCACAGCTACTGATGTCCAAACTCCGAGCAACGCGATGACCATAAACCATGTAAAAAATGAACTTCCAGAAAGTCCTCCTTTCCTCCCGTTCTTGAGTCCTCCCTGCTTTGTCTCTGTTAAAAAATAAAAGAGGGAAAATGTCATTATATAAGAAGAAAAAGCTTTATTGAACCTCTTTTCACTGAAATATTTCTCGAGGAATTTATGATAGTGCTTACAATGCTAAATCACTTCAAAGTTAGTTGTCTCTTAAATTCTTAAATCACGTTACACAAAGATCTTGAAAATGGAAAAGACTTATGGTTTGACACAAAACCACATACCTAAGACCCTAATGTTGAAGCAATGAAAGAAATAAACTACTAATGACTATTTTTTAAAATAAAAATTGATATGTATGTTCCAAGTTCTATATCCAAATGACCTAAATAGAACCTCCTTCAAAGTTCAGAGTATATCAACAGCTTATTAAGATCACAGAGGTAGCCAAAGCCTTTTTTTCTGCTCCATCTAGTTTCTGTAGAATCTGGAAAACTCTAACTGCCATAGAAAAAAGCTTTCCTCCAAATGCTCCATATTCTTAGGCAGAGAGACACAGAAGGAAGGAAATTATTTATAGGAAATAGAGGCCAGGGAAGAAGAGAAGCTGACCAGTGCAGTTCAGTGCCCCTTCTACAATAAGATCCGCTGGGACCCACAGACACAGGGGAAAGTTTTCAAATCGGTCTCGATGCAGAAACACCTTTGTAGGGTCCTGTCCACCAGAACTGTCATACATCACATTTGATACATTTAATATACTTTATGTTGTTGTTCAGTCCCTAAATCACGTCCAACTCTTTGCAACCCCATGAACTCTAGCCCACCAGGCTCCTCTGTCCATGGTATTTCCCTGGCAAGAATACTGGAGTGGGTTGTCATTTCCTTCGCCAATATTTACTTCAGAGGATTCTAACAACTTCAATCAACTTTCCTAACTTCCAGGGTTGGAGGGCAGGGGATAAAACAGGAGCTTGAGATGAACACACACACTACTATATATAAGATAGATAACCAATAAGGACCTACTGTATAGCACAGAGGACTCTACTCAATATTCTGTGATAAACTATATGAGAAAAGAACCTAAAAAAGAAGGAATATATGTATATGTGTAACTGAATCACTCCACTGTATACCTGAAACTAACACAATATTGCAAATCAATTAGACTCCAATACAATTAAAGCAATAAAAAAGTTTCCTAACTCACTGAACAAAATTAAACAGAAATTAAAGACAGCCTAACCCAAAGGAGTTACAGCAATAAAGTGCTGATGGAAGAAAGTGCCTATAAAATATTTGAATACAGCAAGAGTAGACACAAGAACTTGAAAAGAATGGCAGGAAGCCATTCATGATTGATGCTCATTGGTGACCAGAACTTAACTAGAAAACTTATAGTCCTTACCTATTAAAATAATCTTTTAGTACAAAGTTAATGACATTCAAATTAATTTTGCCATTAAACCATTGTTTCAAACTGTTTAACAGTGCAAAAAATGTATAACAAATTTTGGAAAGATTTTTATTCAAATTTTTTAAATTAAATGGATTTATTATTTAAAAGGTAAATGTCAAAGAAAGGGTAAATGTTACTTAGCTAGAACATGAAATGATTAGCATTATTTTATCCATCCCTTCATAATGTCAAATAAATGAGGTATGACTCCAGTAGCATCAATCTTTTTACTGTTACTATTTACTAATTCCATGAAGGAACAAAACAGTAAATTATAGAAAGGTGTCTTTTCTGAATCATCTTTTTAGTGGAACTTTTTAACTGACACCAAATAACACATTCTTGATGTGTCACTTTGTAAATACAGTGTGCTCAGTCCCAAAGGGCAGATCAGTTTCTGCCCAACCAGACTGAAAAAACCACAGTAAGATAAACCCTTCAAGAGAGTTTACAACTCCCCAAGCAAATCTGAAATGAGTACTCTGTTCCAAACATATTCTGGAAAAACATCCAGTAGTTTGTCCCTCTTTTCTAAGATTAGATGAAGCTGGGGATAGGGACCATCAGAAATTTTATGTGGTTAACGAAAGGCAAAATAGAAGATGTACCCCAGCATCTGGTCAATTACATAACTGGAACTATAACTAAGTGAATTAGAAATCAACCATTTATGAGCTTTGGTAAGCATTATTCTAGGGATTTCATATTTATACTCCAAACTGTATACACATTTAAAGTTTTAAAAAACCATAAAAGCAATTCATCAAACTGATTACTTTTTTGCATTACAGAATATCACCCCCTTGGAGCCAAGAACTGTTATAAAAGTGTGTCAGAAGTAACAGCTGACGTTGCTTCACTCTGTAGCTAAGCAGTCCATGGAGAAGGGGAGAAGTGCCTTAAAAAAGAACTAAAAATCAGAAACAGATCTCATATTCTTTATCAGGATGGTCAAGTGATCCATTTTCACCATTTATTTAAAACAGTGTTCAAAGCAGAGAGACTCATATTCTCCACACTAATAATAGAATCCTTCCAGTGACTGCTTAGGTAGCTGAGAGCTGGAAGCAGTTTCAATATGTCTATTTTATGTTTCTTAAACACATTTTCGACATAATGAGCCAATACAACCTGACTTCCATTAAAAAGACTATCTTAATTCATAAAGGAAAGCAAAAACAAACACATACAAAAATGTAAATCAATACACCATTAAAGAAAGGTTGAAGATTAATGATTCAATTTGAAAAAACAAAATAAAATCCCAAAGTCCTTTCTTTGCATTTATTGTCTGCTTCACAAAAATTAGGTCTGTTTCCACATATAAGGCTCTGCTTGAGCCAGCTAAGTATGTTCATTAATACAAGACAGGAATCATAAAGCCTTTAAATTTCCAAAATTTTTACATGAAATATAAATGCACACAATTCTTTAAAGTCACTGTAATTAAATTCTAAGACCAAGACAAACCACTTGTTCATTTATCTGAAGTTTGTAAAATGTTGTCTGATATTACAATACAATAAAAGATATTCTAGGTTAAGACTCTAAAACCTAACATTAATATTAAAGACAGATTGGCCCATGAAAAATTAAACTATTTGAATCACTGAGATCTCCAGGACTTTGAAACAGAAAACATAGAAGATGCAGTCAAAGCAGTTAGCCAAAAATATCTGAACAGCGCACAACTGAAAAAATCAAGCTAAAAACTGCCATCTAGTTTCCAAACCACTTTTAACCCAAAGAACAAAAATATAACTTTACCGTCTGCCATTTTGATTTCTTCAATCCATGAATAATATATATGGAAGGAAAAAAAACCAAAGCCCTGTGAGCAGGTATCAGGCACGACACAGGCCCTTTGCTACTGACACTGCGGACAGGCCAGCAGTTCCTTGGGCAAGGCCTCTCAAGCTGAAATTGGACCTGACTGCAAACTCTGCTCACCAGTTATTTTTAGAGGCCTCTTCCTCAGGGCCAAATACCGCTAATCACTTGGGCTGAAATGCTCTGCTAAGAGTACAACAGCCTTTCTCCCGCTTCTGGGATCCCTTTCTGGGCTGATCCTATTCTCCAACTCCAAAACTTAAAAAAAAAAAGAGGAACAAATGTGCTGCCAGTTTGGGTTCTCTGGAATCAGTCTTCAGTGCTTTTAGCCAAATACCAAATCATTCAAAACTGAAATAAGTCTTGCTATAAAATGTGGCCCCATGCCCAGCAACAGCTTGAACTGACCCTTGGGAATCTAATCCAATGCCTATGTGAAAAGTCCATTATTTTTTTATTCTAATGAAACAGAGCCCTAAAAGGTAAGAAATGAATCAATGCTCTAGAATTCTGAGTCACAGACAATACCTTCCCAAGACTAATTCCCTTAACAGCAAGAGTAAAGCAACAGTAAAAAATTGTTTCCTAGAGGAGGGAGAGAGAGCTGCAGAGGAAGACATGGTGGGCAGGGCGAGCAGATAGTGAAAGAAGGAACTCTTCACCAGTAAGAGAATCATCTAGGAAACACTAGATAAATCATCTCAGGAAACTGGAAACAGATTGCATAACTGTATTCTGATTGTTTTTTCATCTTCTCCCCACCCCCCTCTCCAAATACTCTCTTCTGGGAAATAAAACCAGCCCAATTTATTCACTGATTTAAGATGTGTTGTTGTTTTTCAGTTGCTAAGTCATGTCTGACTCTGTGACCCCATGGATTGCAGCACACCAGCCTTCTCTGTTCTCCACTGTCTCCTGGAGTTTGCTCAAATCCATGTGCTAGTGGTAAAGAACCCACCTGCCAATGCAGGAGATGTAAGAGACGCAGGTTCGATTCCTGCATCAGGAAGATCCCTTGGAGGAGGACATAGCAATCCACTCCAATATTCTTGCCTGGAGAATCCCATGTACAGAGGAGCCAGGCGGACTATGGTCCATAGGGTCTCAGAGTTGGACATGACTGAAGCAACTTAGCATGCAAGCATGCACATGTCCATTGAGTCCGTGATGCTATCTAAGCACCTCATTCTCTGCCACCCCCTTGTTGTACTGCCTTTAATCTTTCCCAGTTTAGCAGCTCACAGACTTCATCAGAGCTCTGATCAATACACTAAATTAATTGAGCACACACTGTATCCAAAGCGAGGCAGCAACCTTTCAAGGTTGTTTATGAGTCTTGAATTTTTTCAGTCAAACTGAATACTTCACACACAAATGAAACAGATCAATGTCCTGGAAAGGAGTCAGCAACCTATGATGCCAATATTCAATGGCCCAGAGCCTGGACAGAGTGAACAGAGCCACAGGGACACCTAAGCAAAACTGACCAGGGTCTTAGGTGCCCTGACCAAGAGTGATTCCTCCCTTCAAGGGTCTGTCCCGCTGAAGTCAGTGCTGACTAAAATGTTGACAAAAGAATCATCTGTTGAAAGGGGTTTAACATAGGTCACCAACCATCATACAGATATCCTAGACAAATATTTCAGAAGCTTCTTTTGTTGTTTTCAGAGAAGAAGTAAGAGTGACTGGAGGCCCTTCTTGGGAACATTGGAAACCAAGCCACCACACTTACATGTTCATGGCCCATTTCAGACTCAAGAGACCTCAATTCAAGTTTCAAAA